TCCACGCGACTTTTAAATTCACGTACTTTTTAAATTCGCACGACTTTTAAATTCACACGATTTTTAAATTCGCACGATTTTTAAATCCACACGATTTTTAAACTCACGCGATTTTTAAATCCACGCGATTTTTAAATTCACGTACTTTTTAAATTCGCACGACTTTTAAATTCATACGATTTTTAAATTCACACCATTTTAAACTCACACGATTTTTAATTCCACACGATTTTTAAGTTCACGCGTTTTTTAAATTCGCACGATTTTTAAATCCACACAATTTTTACAGTAAAATCTGAAAATCTCAGAGTATCGATATCGTTAGAAAATTGGATGAAAACGTTGTCGCAACATAATACCAAGCGTAACACGTATTTTCAGCAACGTGTTGGGATTTAATTCAAAGTCAACAACCCCATAGTGAATCCTTTCTCAAGCGCGCCACGGGATCGAGGATCCCCGTCGATATTATATCGACGATATCGTGCCGCGAATCTTCCAGCAAAAAAGTGAATAAACGAGCGAATCCCGTAGAGCCTTTACGCCGATAATCCGCCGTGAAAACGGTCGCTCGACGTGCAATTTGTCGCGAGGCATCGACGTCGTAATTAATCTATTTTTCTCTTTTTCTCTGTGTGTATGAGAAAATCGTCGATCACGTTTCGATTATAGCACGATCGGTGTTTCCACGAAAATTGCGAATATCCTGATCGAGGTTAAGGCACGACGTCCACGTCGATGTTGCGAGACAACCGTTTAACACTTTTAAGAGCCTCGTACACAATCAGATCTGTATCGATTCATGCCGAAAGAAACAATATCGCGATACTGATCTCAACTTGTGTTTAAGGGTTTCAAAAATGAATGCAGCTTATGGATAATATTGTTGCAACCTGCCTTCGGTGCTTCCCCTTCGTTCGGCATATTTAATAACTATCTATATAGAAGGTTTCAAAAATGAATGCAACTTATGGATAATATTGTTGTAACCTGCCTTCGGTGCTTCCCCTTCGTTCGGCATATTTAATAACTATCTATATAACTAAACTCCACAATAACTTGAACACGAACACCTCTTAACATTTATTAACAAGCTTAGAAATATGTCAGTCAGTCTAGGAATCAGAACAGAGACTATTGAATCGATATTCCCCGGTCGGTAAGGTCCGACCGTCTTTTTATCAATTCCGGAGCGAGCACCAGTAGTCAATGAGTACATACACGGTGCTGGCAACAATATAGTCCTCGAAAAAATATTTGACACGTATTTTCTTTTTATGAGTAGAAATCTGTGTTAACACGTTCCGTGCCGGACCGATTTTCGGTGACTTTCCGTTCACGCCGCGTGGGCCGTATGCGTCCCACATTGTCGGGGCTAACAGTTTTGCTTTTCGCCCTATATGTCTTCCAATATTTATAAGATTGCAAAAATCATTGTTATCAAGAAAAAGGTAACGTTTAAGGTATGCTATAGAGCAAAGGAAAAATTTTTGTTTTAACAAATTTTAAGTTAGCGGAAGGAAAGGGCCGAAATATCAGATGGCCTGAACGGAAAGACCAGAGTGGGGCGTATGCGACCCACGCGGCACGGAACGTGTTAAAGGGGTGAAAAGAGTCTTCGAAGATGAGAGTGGAGAACACGTTTTGTGGAATATCTTGGAAACTATTGGGTTCAGAGATTGTTTGTATTTGAAAAAAGTGTTCAGTTTTGTAGACAGTTTTTAAAAATTCCTTTGTTTAGATGATATATTAAAAATTAGTTTTATTGATATCAGTGTCAAATTGATAAAATTGTAGTCTTGTTACATTCGTAATATTCGTACGGCCATAATGTCGAAATGGTCATTTTCATGTTAAAATGGTGGGGCATTAGGCATACGTCAATATCGATGTGTCAATATCAGCTGATATCGTCCAGTATATAACTGTCGTGAAACTTCGATACCTGGAGCGTGCAACTGATACGAATTGCATTAACGTGGATCCTTGACAAAAATCTCCGACAAAATCTGAATGTGTCAACGTCTACGAGGCTCTTAACCCTTTAACACTTACATTCGAGCCTCGCACGTGTACCATTCGTCCGTGTGTCATTTTCCACATTGCATTATCTTTTAAATTATAGCGAAAATGGAAGTTTTTAAATGAATTTCCCATTATTTATAGTAATTTATACAATAATAACGGATTCTCCTTCACTTTCCATATTACGTTATCCTTCAATTCTTCACAAAAGCCTAAGTTTCTAAATAAGTTTCCCATTATTGCAAGTAACGGTTCACTCCAATTACTATAAATTTATTAGAAATCCCGAAATTTATTACGAACCGAAAATCGACGATTTTTCGCGCATCGAGTTTAACCGAGGTGTATCGAGGTGGAAATCTTGCAGACATTCCAGCGAACACGATCCTCGAGCTGTTCGGCCGGATGTTCTTCGAGTTCTGCCAGGACTCCGGCTACGACAAGATTCTCCAGGTGCTCGGGGCTACGCCCAGGGACTTTTTACAGGTAAATCGCTCCTCGACACGCTCGTTTACCAACGAACCCCTTCACTTTCCACGCGAGAAATATGATTTCCCCCCTCTGTGCCGGATCGCCTCCGCGATTCTCGCGATTCCACGCATCATCCTGGTGAAAGTTTTACCTGAAAAGATGACACGTAGGAAGATCGTCGGCGGTGGTTGTATAATGCGTTCAAATTGCGTAAAGATTGAATAGAGAAGTGGGTAAAACGAATTTTCACGTTTCACGTACAATTTCCTCGTGTGCTGATAGAGATCTTCCAAGGAGAATGTGTAAATCGTGGTTGCTCTGTGCAGAACTTTCCGTCGTATTTATAAAGAGTCCTTACCAAAATAATAATAAAGAATTAATAAATAATACACCTAATAGTTTCAGTAATAACAATCAATACTACATTCGTTATATTATATTAATTGCAGTATTGTCATAAATGCCAATTATGAAAATTTATAATGAAAAAAATATAATGAAATAAAACTGTTTCTAATTTAACTTTTTTCAATGAATATAAATCGCACACTGCTGGATAAAGTAATTGTGACATCTGAGAAACGAAATCGCACAAATCTGAAATTTGCTATACCGTTTGGTGTATTGAAAGGGGAAAATGATTGAAATTTGTTTAAAGGTCTCATGATTTGGTTGGAAAAGGTTGATTTGTGCAACCCTAATTTCTAGGTGCCGAAATTTTTTTGACGAACAATGTATACTTTATGTATTATAAAACATAAAATAATGATAATAATAAAAATAGTAATCATAATAAATGCAATGATAAATATAATAATATTGTAGTATCGGGGCCTACGTACACAAATAGGAAACCAACTAAAAAAAATTTAGACAGAGTAGTTGGTGTAGTGGGCAAAGCCTCGGCTTGCCACCTCTGAGGTCGCGGGTTCGATTCCCGGTTGGATCTCGAAAAATTTTTCCGTCGATTTCCTACAATAATAATATTAAAAATAATAATAATCAAACAACAAAATAATAATATGAATTTAGTAATCGAAAATAACGGATAATTCATCGTCTAGAATTGTGACTCTTCGACTATGTATCAGTGAAAAAGTGACGAATGCCAACGTCATTTCCAAATTATTCAAATCGACCCAAAATGAATTATTCAATCGACGTCAAGAAACAGTCACCCAAAACAACGTCACACAGCGTCGATTACCCAACACACTGGACAAAGCGCCGGATCCTTATCCGACCGAAGGCGCAATGCACCCGAGTATTTTCGTTTCTGTGCCCGTTTTCGCGCGGACGTGACGGTTAAACGCGTGGTCGTTGAGGGATCGAGGAAGCACGCGCGCCTCGATTATCGAAGAATCTGCATCAGCTTATTAGACATTCAACGTTGTGCACAGCGCTCGAAACGCGACGCACGGATTCGTTGGAGGGAAAACGCGTCGAACCAGTCGCCGCGATTGCGCCAACAACACGGCTGAACGGCCGTACAAAAAGCGCGTGAACTCGTTCGCGTGGTCGGAATACGAACGTCGGATTATGGTGGAAAATTGTTTTTGTCGCGCCTGGCCGATGAATTATCGCGATTTCTTTACGGCGTTCCGGCGGGTGAATGATTGCCCTGTTTTTCAGTGGACGTGGCATGCCAGGTGGAGCCTGGAGGTTCGATATATGTGGGACAAGGTGATAATGATGGTAACACTGTGAACCGTGATTGTCCTTTTCTTGTGAAAATGGAAGAAAAATAGTGGAAACCTGAGCTGAGACTTTTTGTAGGAGACTTTGTTTTTTTTTTTTTTTAGATAATCGGTGTGTTTGAAGGATACTCGATACTGATAAGGAAAGATGTTTCTTTACGAAAAATGCGATAATTGTCAATTTCTAAATTATAATTATTATCAGAATCGAGGAAAAATAGTGCAAACTCGAGCAACACCTTCTTTTTAGACGATACTTTGTTTCTTTAGATACTCGGTGTGTTTGAGGGATATTCGATACTGATAAGGAAACATTTTTCTTCGTTTATGAAGAGAAATTATGGCTGATTGGAATTTTATATTTTGATGGGAGAAGAAAGAATAAATGTAGTAAATTCCAATAGTTGTCAAATTCTAAATTATAATTATTGTTTCTTTAGATCATCGGTGTAAACAGAATTTATGGTTGATTACACTTTTGATTACACTTGAAAAATAATTATTACAAAAATATACAGTAGTTGTCAATTTCTAAATTACAGTTATTACAAAAAAAAAAAATTGACTAGTGATAATATAACACTACAAAAATCTATTGCAATAGAGCAGCAATAAACAAATGAAACGTAGATAAATGGACATGTGTAATAACTTCCAAGTCACATAAAGTGTTAACAACGCAAAGTAATAAATTCAGTATACATACTCGAGAAAACTCGAGACACCGATTACGTCTCTTTTCTTTAAATCGATTCATTCAGAAAACACTACACTGTCCTTCGAATTCATTATGAATTCATAAAAGCCTGGATAATTTCATTCATTCGCAGTTCTTATATCCGAACCCACTAATCACACACATTTGCCTTCGCATAATTACCAAGGATACGTATTATCGCCCAGTTATGAAAGATGCAAAATATCAATTCTCACACACGCGACACGTGCGCATAATTAAAGCAACATTTCTGAACCACTATTTCTCAAGGTGAAATCTTCACAATTACCGCCATACACGGGGAACATCATCTCGTCCTATAGTTCTATCACCGTTATCGTCCCGCTAGAATTTCCAACGAACCTCACTTGTGCATCGCGAGTAGCAAGAAACTTCGATTCGCACGCGATGCGATTAGCAAGCGGAATGTCACCGCGGAACGAGATTACTATCGCGACGTTTTCTTTCGCGAGGTTTCATTTCCGGTTCTCTCTCTTTCTGCGGAGTCGAGGTTCGAGTGTTACGCGGTCTGCTCGCCGCGTAGCGAATATTTCCATTTCGATATTTGGAGTTTGATTGGAAGAATTGAAATTTGGAATTTCTGTGGATGAAGTTAAATGGTGGAATTCGAATATTTACTTGAATCTGGAGATCTTCGATTTTATTGGGTGAATTTAGAATTGAAAAAGTTCGAATGTAATTGACGCAATTTGGTTTAATTTTCGAGTCGAATATTCCAAATTTGCAAAAAAAAAGAAAACAGAAAAAGTCACAATCTCTAATAATCCCGCTTAGTCTCAGTGATCCATACACCTTGTAGATAAAATACAACATTCCTCGATCGTTTCATGCTCGAGCACCGTTTCAATCCAGAAAACCCACGTCGTCTCCTTCCATTTTTTCCATTTATTGGTGACTTTCGAACGTCGACAGGAGGCGATGAAAATTAATAGCAGAAATTGTATCGGAAACATGAAACATGAATATCACGTATATCGATGGACGGTTTGGTCTCGTTCAAACTCAAAGTGGCAATCGAAAATGAATTAGGGGCATAGATATGTTTTAGTTAAGGGGGTTAGGTAATGCACCGATAATTTCGGAACTACCTGCCAGGCTGGCTACGGTACCACGTGTAACGTTTAATTACAGAACTTGGACGCCCTTCACGATCATTTAGGCACTTTGTACCCGGGAATGAGGGCACCCTCTTTCCGATGCACAGAGAGGCCCGAGGATGGAGCGCTCGTATTACATTATTACTCCGATCGACCTGGTTTGGAACATATTGTGATTGGCATCGTTAAGGTATTTTAGGCGAATAAGAGTGTAACTATAGAAACACGGAAACTCGGGGGAAATTTGGTTATCTGGTTCCGTGTTTTCGTTTAGTTAGTTTAAGTCAATTTGTGGTAGTTCAGGAAACGTCGGATTTTTGATCGTTATATTGGCGTGATTGATCGTTCAAGTGATTACTTGAATACTGAAAAATTTCGAGGATTTTAAATTATAATTTTTGCTGGAATTTCAATTTTAATTGAAACTTGAATTTTGAGGTTTGAAAGTTAGTTTTTGTTGGAATTTAAATTTTGAATTTTAATCGGAGTTTGAGTTCTGAGGTTTTAAAGTAACAATTTTTGATCGAATTTTAATTGAAATTTGAATTCTGAGGTTTTAAAGTTATAGCTTTTGCTGGAATTTTAATTTTAATTGAAACTTGAATTTTGAGGTTTGAAAGTTAGTTTTTGTTGGAATTTAAATCTTGAATTTTAATCGGAGTTTGAGTTCGGAGGTTTTAAAGTAACAATTTTTGATCGAACTTTAATTGAAGTTTGAACTCTGAGGTTTTAAACTTACAATTTTTGTTCGAATTTTAATTGAAATTTGAATTCTGAGGTTCTAAAATTACAATTTTTGTTCTAATTTGAATTGAAGTTTGAATTCTGAGGTTCTAAGCTTACAATTTTCTTCGAATTTGAATTGAAGTTTGAATTCCCAGTTCTTAAAGTTACAATTTTTCTTCGAATTTGAATTTTGAATTTACTTGAAGTTCGAATTTTAAAGCTTTGAAGTTAGAAATTTTGTTTGAATTTAAAAAGCGATTTTCATTCATTCCTGAAAAATCCTGAAAAAATTGATCATAGCAATGAGAAAAAGTCTATGAAATGTTCTAAAAACTTTGATACATTCTATTCTGCATACATGAATAAAAATCAGAAGAAAAATTCGATATATCTAAAAGAAACTCATTTTCCAAAAAACACTGCGCGCAGTCTTTATAATTTACGATTAAAAACAGATTGCTAATTTCCATATTACCGTTATCAGTAACTATGCTCGTTTTCTATCGGTCTCGTTTAAACCAGCGTGAAATCGATCGCTGCTTGCCACTTAATTTTCATCCTGACAAAATTCGTTAAAACGAGCTACCATTAAACGGGTTATAATTTTTATCGGCCGTAGACCGTGGCGAAAAAGCTCCACGGCACGGATATCGAGATGCGAATATTGAAGACTAAAAACGAATGTGATCACGTTCAATTTTTGATCACGAACACCTCTGGTCCTGGTGTCGTCTCGAATCCCATGATCACAGAATTGGAGACACTATCTGTGGGTAAGTAACATTTCTCGTACCATTTCACATCGAAAATCTCACACTTGTGCCACTATGTCACCGATTTTTTTGAAACATCATTAAAACCATATATTTTTTATACACCAATCGATGCATGCTTGAATTCTCTTCAAAAAAGTATAAAAGGAGTTAGGTCGAAAATTGATTAGTTTAGAAGTTACGATTTTTCTCCCGAGTGCCCAGCGAGACACTGTGCGTCGATGCAATTATTTGTAGAGAAACGCGTACCTTTGTAAGAGTGTTCAATTTTCTGTCTTAGAATGAGCTTATTTTGTCTTAAGAACTATTAGATGCGGAAATTAATTTTTTCTAAATTTTGGGCGCCGTCAAAGTTTCGACTTCCATTTTTAAGAAGAAAGAACAGACATTTTGCTCTTATATTTGTTTTAAAGTAGCGGTTTTAATTTTTGGTTGTGTGGTAAGTAAGAATACACTTGTTGAAAATGCTCTGCAATGTGTCACAGAACCAAAAGTGAGCCCAATGACTTTCTGCCGAGTGTTTCCGTTCCATCTGATGTTCAACCGGGACCTGACCATAGTACAAACTGGATGCACGGTAACTCGAGTTATACCTCAAGTGTGCTCTGGTAATTGCAAGTTGAACGACATCCTTCTGACCGTAAGTTTGTATTGTTGTAACTTTGTATGAAGGATGCGTGAAGTGTTAGGAATAATCGTGCCACTGCTGTTCGGTAAATTGGCACAAATCTGTGAATACTTCGCGGGGTCTCCTTCAAACAAGAGTTACTGACGTTTCTATTAATCACAGATGATAATATTTGGTGTCGTACAATATTATAGTATAGGTACAATGTGGAATAGAAAAATTTATTAAAAAGGTTTTAATTTGAAATTTACTGAAACATAAATTTTAAACTAAAAATTGAAAACTTTGAAATTCATTGAATTTTACACTTTAATT